CCTGGTTCGTTGTATATATTTTGTATTATCTTTTTATGGTATCTAGGGGAAGAGGGAGGGGCTTAGTATATAAGGAAACCTCCCTTTCCGTTGGGATGAAAGGGTTTTCCCCAACCGACTTTATTTTTGAGGCAAATGAATGAGCACATTTTTACTTCAATTTTTTTTTCAAACTTGAAACAGTGTGTATCTTGGTGCAACTTGATGAATGTGTAAACCTTGAATGTAGGCTTTTTCTTGATAAAGTAGAGAGAAAAAAGAGTTACAATTCAGACTTTCCAAATTGGACAAGGGGTGTTGGGGGGGGGGGGATAGTGTACAAAGAATAGATATACCCAAAAGCAAGAGAAACAGGACATTCTCCTACCATCTACAACACATATCTAAAAAAAGAAGATTATCCAAACTCGAGCTCTGCTTTACTTGATCATCTTGGAAGATGCGTCGTGCTCCGTCGCATCATCATCGACATCATCATCCCACTCGTCTCTCCTCACCCCACTCTGCTCAGCCACCGAAGCCCCAGCCACAGGCGCGACAGGGGCATCCTCGTCACTCTCGTCGTCAAAAGCTGCAGGGTCTGCCAACGGCTGCGTCTCGGGATCCGCGCCTGCCCTTTCCGGGCTGCTCCTCTTTGGCGCGCCCTCTACGCCCTCGTCAGCGGACACGGAGATGCCTCGTCGCCCCCACTTGTTGTGCGGTTGTGTCGAGTCGTTTCGCCGGCCGCCGGTTTCTTCGTCGTAGTCAAAGTCCATGCTCTTTCTGCCGACGAAGCGTCCGACAAGCCATCCCCGATTCAAGTCCTCTGAATCTACTACTCCGCCGTGTCGGAGCTTGACGCGCTGACGTGTGTAGTACACCCATGCGAAGTCGATCATCAGGGCTGTTTGGATAGAGCCCCAGACCCATGATGTAGGGTCGCGGTAGTGGTCCTCGTTGGCGCCGCGTACGATCCAATTAAGCACGTAGAGAAAGCGATACGTGCCCAGTGCGACTAGGTAGTATGAGTCGATGACAGTCGGAACGGTAGTTTGGCGCAAGAGGAGGAGTTGGGGGATGATGCAGACGGATTCGAGAATTTCCGAGAAGACCCAGAGAAACTATTTTTTGGGGGGTCGCGGTTAGCTCGGATGTTTGGTTACTTCTAGCAGAATGGGGAAAAAAAACTAACCTTGAGGAAGCTGCTATGGCCAATAAGGGTCTTCTTGAAGATGAGATACCAAAGAGGGGTAATGATGATGCTTCCAAGCAGACAGTACATGCCAAATTTCCACGCCTTTTCTCGCTCTCTGGTGCGCGCATATACGCTCGTCATAAGAAAGATGATGTATAAAGAAGATAGTGTGTAGAAGATCTAACCACAGTCAGTCCGGTAGTTGCCTGCATGGACAGATCCGAGCGCGACCTACCTTTAGGGAGAAGTTCCATGTGTGCCATACATCCTTTGTAGCCGAAGAAGTGAATATATCGAGGTATCGCGTACTAAATACGAGCGCGTAGAGTACTTGGGTGATGAGGGACACGCCTGTGTGGTATGTTAGCAATGCTGCGACCGGGAGCCTATGGTTAGTCCAACCCACCCTCTGCACTGCTGTTCGCGTGTATGGCCCATATCAATATGAGCTTGGATGATGTATGCGAGACATCGCCGAGGATATGAAAGAGGTTGAACCCCATGTTGGGGACGGAATGCGGTGTGCGACGGCTACACAGTAAGAGGCCTGTGGCCGGCGTATCGGGTTCAGGGTTCGGTGTCGGCACTGCGTGCCAGCACTGTTCTTTGTGATGAGGGATTCCAGTACGGGCCGGTCCAGCGCCACCTGTTGGGAGATTCGGGAATCGGAGATGAGAAATAGCAGGAGTATGGATAGGTTGCGTGGATGATGATGCGTTGCGGAGCTGATGGCTCGCATCCGCATACGCAAGCTACCAGGTATCCGTAACGGCTTGGCGATACCCCGGAGTCCGCTAATCCGCTAGCCCCAATGCAGCATGGCGGATAGAGGGGGTCCGTAAGCATGGGATTCTAAGGCTGACCTACGCATCTTCTAGCCCCGGCAATCCATGGCCTAGCCTCGACAGCCACACGAGGAAATTGACTACAAGACAGGACTACATGGCTGGCCCATTTGCACGAGGGTACTCAAACACGCCCATTAATGTACTCCTGTGACTTGCTATAACGATGTGACCAAATTGTCCGCCTAACCTTGGCAGCAAGGTTGCTTGTGCCGTCTTCATCATCATAGCTAGTATGATTTGCGTATTTTAGCAACTGAAACCGCAATCATATCTGCCCATAGACATCGTCTATTTGTTTCCAAAATCGCTATATCCCACGGTAGCATAGCGGCAGATGAGAGACTCTGCCCCAATCTGCTCAAGTTCTTACACATATATACGAGATGCACGGAGCCAAGAAAGCTGAACAAATTATTGTCTCATTTGTTGCATTCTAGAGCGTGTATTTGAACGCTGTCAAACTAGCCAAAAGGATAAGCATGGAGCACGTAGATTCGCTCCAACCTCTTCACTACTCAAAATGCAGCGAGTCTCTATTTTACAGTTGACGATCTAGCTTGGAGAATGTGCCACAGCCGGAGCAACAGGATCGACAGCATGGGCAAACAAAATGCGTTCCCGTCGATATGTTGTCCCAAAATAGATTTTCGGGAAACCTACTGCTTTATTCTCTCTTTTCTGCTCACTTCGTTTCGCAATGGGGCCTCTTACGGGAGAGGCCGTCGAGGCTCATGCAAGGCCTGCAAGGCCTGCAAGGCGTCCAACGTGGCACATGCGACAGCGGATGACAGCAGATTTTGGAGTAGCTCTAAAACGATGCAGAGGCTGGCCCATGTTGACGGAATGTCTCCAATCATTAGTTGCGGTCACTGCAATCTTGACGGACCCTGAAACTCGTGATTTGGCCAAAGTGAGCGGCATAGCGCGTCATCTCGTCGTATTCTTGATGCACATACAAGGCCCTAGACCCTCCATCATGATTGCTTGCCACGTTTGCGGCGTAGCTACTGCAAGCGTCGGGATTGGGGACACACAAAAATGCGCCTTCCTACCACATTCCAGTAACCATCTCTTTGTAAGCGCCGAAGAAGCCGAGGGCGACAGGCTGGTTAAGACAAGGCAGATTGTGCTAGCAACGAGTAAACACAGGTGCTTAGAATAGCGGTGAGAGACTAGAATTACTGAAGAGTGGCTGTATCAATGCTGGCGAGGCAGTGTAGAGAAAGCGTTGCGATGCGGCATGATGCGGCACGGTGCGGCAGCGAAGTTTAACGCGCAGCCGCCGAACAGGACCCAATGCTCTGCTTATGGGAACTAGCACGGACAGAAGAAAAAGCCTGAGACCTAGAAGGCGTCACGAGAATCCTCTAGACATGGATTGGTCGGCCATAGTCAGTGGTCGACCTGACGAGCGAAGATGATGAGCGGCCGACAGCAAGGGAGCGGGGTGGAATGGAGACGCGCACACAACCAGAGCCTTTAGCCGACCGACAACGCACAGCCTAGAAGGACTAGTAGAGATGGGACCATGATGGTGGGGTGTGACCAGCACCAGCTTGCACCGTCAATCATCTCGGCCCAGCGCCGGGTCGCTGAGGCCATGGTGTGGGGCGATTGTTGACACGGAGGGCACGCGGACTGGCTGGCGACATGAGCGTGTTAGTGGTGGTGGCAGTGATCTTCGAGGCTTGCGTGTATGAGTGGTGGTTGAGGGGGGATGAAGCGAAGGAGGAGGAGAGTTGGGAGGAAGGGCGGATGGGTGGGTGGCACGAATATGGTGAATTAGCGGCCTTTAGCCAACCGAGTGGAGATTAGCGGCCAATGGCAGCTACTCTATCGACGCATTTAAGCGCCTTTGTGTCCACGACCACCAGCTTACCCTCATGCAGGCCTATTTGCTCGCTTTCACCTCTATTCACGCGGCACAGTCGTCCTGCACACCGAATGGGAAGACACGGCCTGGCCAAATCTCGTCCTGCTGCACCATGGACTGCCCCCCTTGTTGTCGGCATCCTATGACGCCGCCAGCTTAGGCGGGCTCGTTGATATCACGCTGCAGCGAAGAGAAATTGACCTCTGGCAATGTCCTGTTTCCGTGAAAAACTCGCGGACAAGAAGGAAGAGGCCGACGTCACCAGGCCGGCCGCCTGAATCAGCGTTGCAACCGGTGGTCCCAGTCCTGAACTGTCGTTTCCATACGGCGCGGCGCGCACACGAGCATTACGGCGACGGCGACGAGCCTACTGTTATGTATACCCATGGCGGCTGGCCAGTGGGGCTAAATGGCAATGGCAATGGCAAGGCTGGGCTTGCGCCTGCACGTTGACTTGTACGCCATGATCATCGCCGTTGTCATCGACCGCGCCCACATGGAGTGAACCCAGCATGCCGTTCCGGGTCAGCAAATGGGTCGGACACAACCGTCGACTGACCATGCATACCTAGCCAATTCGCGGCTCAAGCGCAACGCAGTGCAGCCGGGGTCTCTGCCGCCATACCGTGACGAGCCAGCCTAGACAGCAGGGTGAATGCCCGGGGCGCTAACGTGCAGGCCTGACAGTCAATGCGCGCAGCACCCAATCCTTCCAGGCCTACCGGGGGCATGATACAGTCGATGCACTAGAAAGTAACCTGCACAACCTGTCCGCTATACCATTACTATCTTGATAAATATGACGGAGGCGTCCCCCTAGCCTAGTCGTCTACCTCGAGCCTAAACACCATCACTGCGCGCCCTGTCTTGCCCACCCTACTCCTGCTACTGCCCATCTTCCTTGCTTGCTGGCCATATTGGCAACCAGAGTAGAAGAGGCGCAGCAAGAATAAGGCCCTTCAATCTCCCGCCAGGAATAGAGGCCATGTCGATTACACTTGAATGTGCTATCCCTCCTCCACATCTCTTCCAGTCAAGGCCATCCTCGTGGCAAAGTCCCTACCACAGTCATACTTACCCCGCCTCGACCTCCTCGCCTGCTCCCATGTCTCCTCAGTCGCTCCAACCTTCAATGTCACATCTGCCCGAAAGTCCTCTACCGTCTCACGAGGCCATCCACGTCCCGGCCTCTGCATGGTATGGCCCCTCGATTTCGGCCCCCGAGTGCTCTAGTGAGGTTTGTACTTGATTCTTACCCTACGACTGGCTACTCACATCCACCCACTTAGCCTAGCTATGCCTCATACAACAACTACATTACTCCTCACACATCCTCTATCAATCTGTCGCCACCAGCCACAGCGTTTCCTTATATGCCAAAACATCCGGGATCCGCAACACAGTTGGATCCATCTGTTACGCTGTCTCCAGGCACAGTCTACTCTCGAGACTCGGTGGTACCCGAGCCTGCCAGCCCATTAGAGGAGCCTCAGTCCGACCCAAAGTATTCGTTACATCAGTCGACCTTGCGTCTCGGACCACAGTCTCACCTACTGGACCGAAATCACAGTGGTTTGAGTAACTTGAACACCGCAAGAGCGAACGTATCCTGGGCCATGAACCCCCTGGGCATCCACTCTAGTCATGAATCGTACTATCCGGCGTTCCCATCCTTGAATCATAGCCCTCGTCTGAGCGAACCATCAGTAGAGCTATCAAACCAGATGGTCTCACCACAGCCACGGCGCATGTACACCCCTATTGCCCCTCTACCACAAGAGACGCCTCGATCACATAGCACCAAAAGGTACCATGAGGATGAGGAAGAAGCACTCGACAGCTCTAAGCGTAGGAAACGATCAGATTCGCAAACATCGACACAGTTTGAACTGAGTGAGGAGGACAAGCTCCTACTCAAGCTTAAGGAACAAGACTCTATGCCGTGGAAGGATATCGCAGCGCGTTTCCAGACAGAACTGCAAAAGTCTTATCAGATACCAGCGCTACAGATGCGCTACAAGCGCCTAAGAGAACGAATGCGCGTCTGGACTGACACCGACCGTAAAGCACTACGTATGGCGCACGAGTACTGGTTACAAAACAAGTTTGAGATTATTGCGCAAAAGGTATGTGTCGATTGTAACAACTAGTGTGCACAGCTGACCAATTTCGTAGATGTTGGAGTTTGGTGCTCAGGAGAAATGGACAGCACGGCAATGCTCACGTCAATGGCAAATGATGGATCACCCACCATTGTCATATGCCCAATTCGATCATCATCTTCAGCAGGGCTTTGCCCCTTATGCCATGAGTCCTATTGAGCCGCCACCCAACAACTCCCTGCCCTTCTTGCACACCTGATGGGCTTTCCAGGTCGGGGACGGGCAAACTGGTCACAGCCGTGCCCCTTTACTTCTTCGTCTTCGTCTTCTCTTTCTTCTTCATCTCCGTCTTACCCATCTTCCTCCCATGAATCATTCACCAGAATGATAACAAGCGCTTCGCCTAATACGATGCGGCACGGGCATTGCGTTTTCCAGAAAAAAAACGGGCGGCTTGCATAGGAGATTGGGGCGTGGCTGGCAACGGCAAACGAGCACTGCGCACCGCCCTTTTCCAAGGCTCACAGATCCATATTTTCTTCTTCACTAGATACCCTTGCTTAAGGTCAGCAATGACCGATGTTGTAACGATCCATTCTTTTCTATCGATTGCCACACCAGGTGATCCCTTTCTTCATCATGCCTTACGCACCCATTTTAGACTCAAACGGCGCAAGCCAACGTACGTACATTAGGTCACAACATTCAATGAATGAACCTACAAATCTCTCTAGACAAGCAAAAGCATTCCATTCCAAATAAGCTCATCCAGTAGCCCTGCAACCTACTCCGCACCGTCCCTGCCCAACACGCACGAAACACCTACGCCGCAATCTGCAAAGAGAGGGGGGAAAACTGGCCTTTGCCCGCGCCGCAATCGCCCAAAAAATTGCATTAATGACTAGCAGCGGCACAACACCACCCTCCATGACTGGCCTCTTCTCATGTACAGCCGCCAAACCGGCACGGAATAATTCCACACACCCCATGCCGCAGTAAATATCATGTCTCTCCTTCACCCGCGCGGTTGCCCAACATAGTTGCGTATGTGCGCAAGTGGCACACACATACCCCTCTCTCTCTCTCTCTCGTAGCGATTCTACTCACTAACCTCTTTTTTTTTTTTACCTCGCTTCCCTTTTTGACTTTACCGCGCCGTACGCCATTCGGCCCGTTTCCCAACCGTCGATAGTGGCAATGCCCGCTGTGCGTACATATGTATGTGCCACACACGCACCCCTCTCTACTCCTGCAGAACCCGTCCGTACGTAGCGCTTTTTTGCCCTTGCCGTCGTTGCGGCAACGGCGTGGACATGTGATTGCGAGCACATGCGCGCGCGCGGGTGCGAGACGGATGGCGATTTGGGGAACTGTGCCGCGAGAGAGTAATACCCTTACAAACTACTAGGTAGCGTGATTTGAGGCAAGAGACTAGTGAGGGGACGGAGGGTGTGGGTGTGGGTTCCACACCCACAGCAATAACTTTGTGGGTTGCACGTGTGAAGAAGAGTATCAGGGGATTGAGCCTTTTTGGGATAGTGCTGGGGAATGGGAGGGTGGTGTGGCTCGGGTAGAGTTGCGTGTGCGCGGGAAGGCTTGGGAGGCGAGGTTCGCGCGCGGAATATGGCGCTGGTTTTTTTCTCGGGAAACGGATGTAGGGATCAGGTAGGAAGGGAGGATAGAGAGCGCGCGCTTGCATTTGCGAGGTTTTGACAAGGAGACATTTGATTGGTACTGGTATTGTATCATATGTTTTTTGGTATACTGCATATGTTGCGTGTGGCTGGACCAATGCTAGACGGCGCCTTGGTCTACACAACTACTATAGGTTTGTGAGAAGCCCCACTTCTTTTTGATTGTACAGACAATTCGTATAAAGGGTTTCTTCATCGCGATTTGGGGCGTGAGTGACGCACCGGGCGGGGACAACGCAAGGGCAAGGGGTCTCGGATGATGCACAGCGTACGTACCTGGCCAAAGCAAGTGAATGTGCATCCCTGCATCCAAGATCTGAATACGGGAATCTCACATTCCTATTGAGTCGTTTTGTTCTCACCGGACCTGAAAAGACTGGTATTGGCGATTGCGATTGGAAGGAGTGTGCTTGCCAGGCTACATCGCTGGCTTAACCAACGAAGCTGATCAGCTGAATGAAATTTCTCTTTTATCCAAGGCCACACCAATGACCATATTTGTCTTGTCATAATGGCTGTGCTAGATGTCTGACAGTAGGATCTAGAGGTTGCAATGTCTCTGGTAGAGAGGGCGCAAGTGTGAAGCATGTATGAGCCGAGAGTATCCGTCAAAATATGTTTCCGTTGCCTCGCATGCCGAAGTCACGAATTGCTTCTGAATATCGTTAGTCATAGAGTGTCACGACAAAGGTGACTATCATGAGCTCTTGACATGTCCCTACATCATATCCTATTCAGAAGTGTCTTCGATTTTTGATGGACATGTGATGTCGTCATATTCTTCTTTCAGCATACACGTGTAAGCACAAGCCTCGCATCTTGGAGCTTTTCAGAGGAAATCATCGAGACGAAATTCCCCAGATGTGCCGGCAGTTGCATGAAATACGACCTGACGTGTATCGCTGCCTCTTTACCGTCACTCACCAAGGCTGAGAAGGCAAAAGTAGACACACGACTTAGTAAACCAGATCCAAGTAGGATAATGCGTCTTCTCGCTGTGACTGGCTGCCTAGGCAGGAAATGTGATGAAGACGAATTTGCCATTTGCTCAGCGACTGCTCACAGCTTACTCGGGGAAGAGGGAAGTTTCACTCCACAAGCTAGTAAGCTTACTTACATCCGCTCGCTAATGTCGTCGCGGACCGTGTCCATGGCCGGTTTGCTGTGCGCATAAGCGGCTTACAGATTTGTGTTATAGGTTTCCAGCGGCCCGGCCGACCCTACGGCAAACCATGGGACGCCTGATAGCGGCTGGGCTCCAAATACTACGTCTATTAGGAAAGGAGTACGAGCCAGGAACCCCGGTGTCCGGGACCTTCTGGAAAACCTGACAGACTGCCTATTTTCTTACTCGAAGCCCTAGGAGATGTGACGAGACATGCTGTCAGCATTAAGGTCGGCGTAGTAAACCCCCACGTCCGTGAGTCGGTGTGCATCTCGCAGCTGCCCGGAAGCCATTGCGGTCTCAGATGGGTGGCTGTCGGCACTCGACAGCAGTCTTTGCTTTTCGTGTTCGTAGAGTCAGCACCCAATCGTGATTCGGCTGAGGAGCGTGGGAGGCCCAATGGCGTGCTCGGCGAACGTTACATTGGTCAATCCCCGAGAAGTCATCCACGTTGCTGAACGGGCGATAAGCCGAGAGTCAGTATGGAGACTTGGATGTGGTGGAACCTTCCTGATAGAGCCATAGTCGAGATGTGTGTCGAGCCACACGGCAAGCAAGGAGCCTGGGAACTCGAGGGGTAACTGGGAGGTTGACAACAGAGGGGCAAGGCACTGTACTTGTGAAAGTGCACTCTCACTCTGTTCCAGCGCCTCGACTGGGTCCATGTTTCATGATCTGCGCCCTACATTAGCGAAGTGGTGTTTCCCTTCCTACGGGTTTGCACAATAGAGTCGACCGATAATCATGGGCGTTGTTGAACTGCAGTCCATTTAGCCGCACCATACAGGGTTCGTCGGCAGCAAGGAAAGCCGTCTGCTCGGGCTCGTGAGGTCATGCTGCACGTGCGCATCAGCATACCTCCCCCACCTTCCCTCTCACCAGCTGATGAACGATCACTCGAGCTTGCAAATCGTCTGGGTGGCAGGCTGACGGGCGGACAAAGCTTGAAGCCATGGCTGAAATCGATCTTTAAAACCAAGATGCGATCGGAAGCTGTGGAGCATCGGTTGCACGACGTGTTTATCGGCTAATGTTGAAGAGCTGTTGAACGAGTCGAAGGCTCTGCCAAGCTCAAAAACGTAAGATATGTTCTGGGAACGTTACCGAGGTGCGGAGCCAAACGCCGATCTACCGGTGAATACGAAGACGGATGGAGGCTGCAAGCGAATGTCCCCTTTGAGCAAGCGCATGCCCATGGTACAATGGCAAAGTGCAGACGCAGACGAAAAAGCCCGGGAGCTTTGCATACTTGTAAGCTCGTATAGGCACGCACGGTGGCTTCTAGCAGCGTCCACGATTAGGCACGGGATTGTGTACTTTGTTTTCGCCCCACTGACCTTCTTGTTCGGTATCTTCCCCAGATCTTCTTCGGCCCTTCTAGCGCTTATGGCGTCCGTCAAGTCGGGTGCCGTGCAGCTGAGGCCCGCGAAGCCGCCCAGGGTGCGCATGAGACTTGTAGACGCGACGCTTGTGTGCCAGTCTAGAGCACTGGATACATGAGCGTTTACAGTAAGCGCACTGAGCGTGATAGGAGACGACTAATATTTAACCGGTCATGGTGTTCTGTCTAGGTTAAATGTGCTGCTGCGCCATGTCCCGGGACTGTGGAACATGTGTGCATTGAATGACCATTAATACTGCCGTTTTGGGTGGAAATGTAGGATAAGTCTGCAAAAATGTGAGGTTTGGGGTGTTAAGTTGCGAGGTTGTCGTGAGGGGCACTTGGGATAAGTCGGACAAGAAACTAAAAGCCGACACGTTATCCAGGAAGGCAGCCACCCACACCAATAGCTCTTTACTCATTCGTCAAGGTGTGTTATCTCCGAAAACCCCGCCACCAGGCCGTGCATCTGCTGTGTATACGTAATGCCTCTGCGTCTTTGATGTCTTGAGACCGGCGAAGCTCACTTACAAAAGGCATATTGTCTTTTCACTTTGTTGCCTGGGCTGGGTAGTATGCGCACAGCATTGGGACGAATCTCGCGTTTGACCTCTCAACTTCCATCGGTCAATTCACCCCGTTTCCTTCACGCCTCATCAGCCAACATGACAGCTCTGACTATCGAATCTCGGTACTTGATGCCATCGGGCTACAAGATCCCCGTACTCGGCTATGGTGTGTATCAAACACCTGCAGAAATTGCCACAGAAGTGGTTCAGCACGCACTCAAAGTCGGATATCGCCATGTAGATTCAGCCGTGGCATACAGGAACGAGGCACCTTCCGCAGAGGGCATGAAGAAGTCGGAAATTCCCAGAGAAGACCTTTTCTTTACCACAAAGATTCCGCCAAAGGATATGTCTTATGAAACGGCAAAAAAGCACATTGACAGTACACTTGAGAAGACGGGCTTTGACTATGTTGATCTCTACCTGCTACACAGTCCATATGGTGGCAAGGTCAACCGAATTGGCGCATGGAAAGCGCTCGTTGAGGGTGTACAAGCCGGTAAAATCCGGTCCATTGGCGTGTCCAACTACGGTGTGCATCATCTTGATGAGCTTGAGACATGGATCAAGGACACGGAAGAGAAAGAGGGTAAAGGCAAGGGCGGAGTGATCAGCGTCAATCAGGTCGAACTACATCCTTGGCTTGCGCGGCCTGATATTACAGAGTGGTGCAAGAAGCGGGGTGTGTTATGCGAAGCATATTGTCCCATTGTACGCGCTACCAAGAACGACGACCCTTTGCTCAAGTCACTTGCGCAAAAATACAACAAGACGCCATCACAAATCTTGCTACGGTGGAGCTTGCAAATGGTGTGTCCAAAGCCCCCCCTCGTCGCTTATATGGACTAACAACCAGGATAGGGATTTGTACCACTGCCAAAGTCTGTTACCAAGTCAAGAATCGAGGAGAATGCACAGATATATTCCTTTGAACTCTCTGAACAAGACATGAAGAGTCTGGACACTGGAGTATACGAGCCTTGTTCATGGGATCCCACAGTTAGTCATGATTAGTGTTAGGAATACAAAAGGTCTAGCCTAAATGTGTAACCAAATGAGATGAATTGATGCTTACTGAGTATTCTTATTGTGTGCCATTCGGTACTAAAGTTCCAACGGTACTAAAGTTCCAACGGTCTCTTGACCTGCGATGCTTTAGCAGCAATTGTAGTTTCATCTGGACTCGATTTGACATGTGATTCATCTGGTCTAGCTGTGAGTACTGTTGTTATAGATGCCGAGGTTGTCCGACATATTGGAATGGGATTGCCAAAAATATTGGAGACTCAAGTGAGCGCGTCGCATGTGACGTTTGCGACGCGTAAAAACATGGCTACGTCATCCTGACCTACACATGAAAAGCGCATACAATTCGAACGTGCCCTTACAAGATACTTAACTTACCTAGTTTTTTGATACACTTTGACACCCATTCAAGTCTTTTCAGTAACACATTAAGCGGAAGCCTTGCTACTACACCTGCGCATAATTCACCATGGCACCAAACAAAAAGGTTCTCATCATCCTCTCCGACGCCAGCTCTTTCCCTCTATACAACACTGGTAGCGATGGAAAGACAGTCTCACAAGACTCTGGCTACTTTCTTATGGAGCTTGCCAAACCACTGTCCAAGATTCTAGACGCAGGCTATGAAGTTACGTTTGCATCACCTGAGGGCAAAGAACCCACACCGGACCCTTTGAGCGTGTCGCTTGCCGCCTTCGCGGGCAACTACTACGAGAAGCAGCGCGAACTGGACCTGATTGAAAGGATGAAGAAGGAGAATGGCTTCTCAAGGCCGAAGAAGTTTTCTGAAATTAGCGATGAGGAGCTGAAGGGCTTCGATGGTGTCTTCATTCCTGGAGGGCATGCGCCCCTAAGGGATCTCGGAGACAATGCAGATCTGGGCCGTGTGCTATCGCATTTTCACGGCGAGTTGAAACCTACAGCAGCCATCTGCCACGGTCCGTGGGCATTCCTGTCTACCAAGTATGGGCCCAAGAAGGAATTTGAGTACAAGGGGTACAAGATGACAAGCTGGTCGGATGCAGAGGAGAAGGTGATGGAGACGATGTTGAGGGGTGAGATTGATAAGGTTGAGAGTAGGCTGCGAGAAGAAGGTGCTGATATGCAGGAGGGTATCGGAAAAAGTCTGGGCAGCATCACTGTAGATAGGGAGCTTGTGACGGGAGATAATCCGATGGCGGCGAATGCGCTTGGAGATAAGTTTTTGGAGATGCTGGCTGCAAGATGATAGGGTAGGGGGACGAGGAAAAAGAACAAAGTAGATACAAGTATTGAGGAATTTGAGCACAAACAGGGTATTGGCAGTATGCTGTGGTGTCATGCAGAGATAGTACTTACATAGTTGGAAGGTGAGCAATGGGACCAGCCCATGGCAGATCGGATGGATGCGGAACAACGGGGGGCACGCACACACACACACATACATATACACACAATGGCTGACTGCACGTGCCCCAGGCTCCTCAACGTCAGGTTAGGCAAAGAACGACAAGTGCAAATGCCGCAGCGTTCAAGGTGCCAGAACCAAGGGCTTCGTTGATAGACATGGCTGACCGCCCTGCCGCTCAGCAGCTAGCGAACCCCGCACACAGGAGGCTGCCACCGATAACCGTCGATATTCCATCTGCATCTGCGCCATGGCAGTCAGATCAGCGAAACACCTTGCGTAATGGTGCTGGCACATGGGTCTCGATACCCGGCATAGGCGCAGGGCTAGATCTCCATACGGGAATATCAACAGCGGCAGCCGTGGGGCGATCGATATCACAGGCAGCAAGTTGCCGAATACACACTGCTTAGCTGCCGTTGCTATTGCCCGTCCGTCGGCGGCCCCAGTTTGGCGGCAAGCCGCTTTTTTCTTCTCGAGTGGCAGAAAAGCATAGTTCAGACATGACGCAGGGCCAACTGACAGCCCATCGCCGACCCGACCCGCCCCTTTATACCTGATCCCCAGCTGCACATCGGCTGCCAGCCTCGAGAAGTCGCCCCCGCAGCATGGCTGTCCCAGGATACAGGCTGGGAGTTGATGTAGGAGGGTGAGTAATGTGTCGCTCCAAATCTGCTTTACTGGCTGCCTAAGTATCGCCCAAACCCGGCATACTTACACAGCGGCTAGTCTTGAATCACATCATGGCCGAGATGCTACATTTGCCCCGTAGCTACGGCTACCATTCCCTTGCCCCTCCCTCCAAGCGCCACCAAACACGGAACAACGACAATAGCGTGCGGCTGACTCGAGCCCAGGACCTTTACCGATGGTAGGCATCATCTCATGTAGCCCTCACATTCATCCTTTAACCCACTCAGTCTGTGTAATTACCCCCAACGGAGAGGCCGTTCGCACAAAGCTACCCACAGACACTCAGGATCAGTCCATTGGAGTGCAAAAGGGTGTGCAGCAAGCCCGCCACATCCTCAAGGAAAAGTACAACTGGCAAGGCAAATTCCAATACATACATCATGGCACCACGACTGCCACCAATGCTGTCCTCGAAGCAAAGGGTGCCAAATGCGGCCTTGTCGTTACAAAGGGCCACAAGGACATCTTGGCTGTCAGACGGAGCCACATTCCTGGTGGACTCGGAGCTTGGATGAATTACGAGCAACCTGAGCCTCTTGTACCTCTCGAACGGACCGTCGAAGTCAAAGAGCGCATCAAAATCGATGGCAGTGTCTACTGCGAATTGGACGAAGAGCGCTTTCGGCATGATTTGCAGGACCTCAAGCAACAAGAGCCCGAAGCGATTGCCGTGTCCTTGCTGAATTCATTTACCAACAACGCCCATGAGGAGCGTATCAAGACTATATTGCACGAGGAATTTGGGTCGCACGTTGAGATCGTCGCGTCAATGGACGTCCTGCCAGAGATTCAAGAATACGAGCGCACGGCCACAACAGCTACAAATGCAATGGTCAAACCGGTAGTCAAGAGATACATGCAGAACCTTCAGAACAAGCTTGCCAAAGATACCGATGTAATTCGGATCCTGAAGTCTGATGGGGACTTGACTTCCGTCCAGCTGGCAGGGGAGACACCAGTGCGCATTCTCATGAGTGGCCCGGCTGGTGGTGTCAAGGCTGTCTCGCATTTGGTTGCCAAAAACACACCCTACAAGAACCTCATCACGTTCGACATGGGCGGCACGAGCACTGATTGCGCTTTGCTCAAAGGTAGCGACGTCATTATCCGACAGGAAACCCAAATCGGACATTTGTCAGTGCGCGCGCCATCGGTCGACGTGAATACAGTGGGGGCTGGCGGAGGCTCGATTGCGGTATACAATGACTTCACCAAGAGTCTGCGTGTAGGGCCTGAGTCCAGTGGCGCCACACCAGGTCCAGCAGCCTATGGCAAAGGTGGTGTACAAGCGACCGTTACAGATGCGAACCTGGCACTAGGGAGACTACCGTCAAAGCTGTTGGGTGGCACTTTCGCACTTGATGTCGCAGCATCCAATAAGGCAGTTGAGTC